ATGAGTGCTTCCCATTACGAAGAAAAACCGAAAATTCGGAATGAAAAATCAGCCGACCATTGTTGATTTTGGATCAAAATCAGTATCAGGGCAACTGCCCACCTACCCCTCCCCTAACCCAACATTAACCTTAACTTGTTGTCAATTGACTGTTGTTGAGTTAGGGGAGGGGTAGGTGGGTAGATACTGATACTGATCCAGTATTTTTCCACCTTAGCTTAGCCCTTTACACTCCAACATAAGTAAGCATATTCTCCATACAGTTCTCTATACATCTCCTAAGGCGCTGACGAGGAGAATTTGTTTAACAATCAGGAGATTTTTTTAGCTGGAGATAATTTCCTTTATTCTTGTGACCTTAATGTTGGATTCAGGGGTGATGATGTAACTAGAAATTAGATGTAATAAAATATATGCGTATTGTTCATCGTGGTGTAAGATAGGAGGTGAAATTTCTTCTTTTGTCTCACGATAGAGTCACTTATAATGTAGATCGCGACGTTTCGAGTGCAATACTGCTAGTCTTCATTAGACGACGATGAAGACTAGCAGACATCTTCCTGATGAAGACTAGCAGTATTGCAGTCGAAACGTCGCGATCTACATCATAAGTGACTCTATCGTGAGACAAAAGAAGAAAGCTCATCTCTTAGAAATTAGATGCTAGTCACTCTTATGGGTTAAATGGTTGTTTATCTTACGAGTGAATTCTTACGTGATCAGTCAGTCTTTTCGTCCAGTCTCTATAAGTCTCTGATTCGTGATCTGATAGGTTTGCTTTCCAAGCAAGACCCGTGAAATGGAGATTGGTGAATAGCAATAAGTTAACATCTCCTGAAAAAGATGATATGATTATTTCAAAACTAGTTAGAAGGACAGTTTTTATGTGAGTTACTTTATAACGGGGCTGCAGCGCGCGCAGCAAAGCCCCATACTTATCAGAAATAGTGCTCGTAGTACCTTGTAATATCCTTTGAGATGCTATTGATTTTGAAGACTTTGAGTTGCAATGCGTTGTTAAGTTTTTGGAATTCTGATGACCCAAATTTTGAAGAGAATGTTTTGCACAAAAGCGTGAAATGCGGAAAAGTTTTTTATCACATAAACTGCGGTATTATACAAGTCTTTCCGGCCCTGAAAAAAGCCGTAACAACACACGTGATAAAAATATCGTATTTTTTTTACGTGTGTTGATATAGCCAATCAGCTGCTGACACGTCACTTGCCTTTGGCGCCACTCGGTCAGGTTGATTGATGAACGGCAAAACCTTCACGATTCTCAATACAAGGTAGTTTGTCGGAACTTTCTCTGATTGTGGCGGTTAAAACACTGAAAAATTCGTATTGCTTGCAGACAGTGAGATTAAAACTTTCCTAAAGGGGGAAAAATTTATATACAAAAAGAAAAGCCGAAAGTTACGCATTCAGTGGCTTTGGTGTTGGCATTTCTCGCGGCTGAGAATGAAAATCGACAACTGGAAGATTTGCCACTGGCCGATTTTGGTCGTTTACCTGAAAGACTTCTTCTGTCGGTAAGGACAAAGTCAATAAATGATAATTTTGTGAATTGAAAATTACGACCGTTTCATATATTCTCAACCGTTTATTGTTGTTTTTGTAATGATGATTCAACGCATTTTTCCATCTTAAAAGTTAGCGCCAACGCACCCTACGATTGTTATTTGGGGAATGTCGATTCATTTATTTTCATTCATTAATGAAGTCGGCTTTTCATGTCAGTAAAGAACTATTGTGTTAGTATGATAAACAAAATAATACATGGTAGCTTATAGATATGGAATTTCTCTTCTCGTGTTCGACTCGATACTCGTTCGCTGCGCTCACTCACAAGCTATCGAATTAAACATTCGAAGAGAAATTTCATATCTACGCGCACCCATGTATTATTCTCTGTTTATGAGTATGAGCCCTTGTTGCTGCATGTCTGTGCTCACATGGGTAGCGCGAAATCCTACCGTTTGGTTATACTGCAAAACATGTGTAAGTCTAAATGACTGTAAGTATATGAAAATCATGTATGTGAACTGCGGTACGGTGAAGAAACGAATGTGGAAGCGATCCTCGCAGTTATGAACACTACTTAAGTAGTAGTGAAGATAAAACCTGAAAAAATTCATGAACCCATGACCTCTGGGATACTGGTGCAGAGGTCATGAATTCAAATCCCATACAGGCCTTAATTTTTTTTCAGGCCTTATTTTCGCTACTATTTAAGTAGTGTTCATAACTGCGAGGATCGCTTCCATATTCGTGTTTAAGTCTATTGAACTCTTCAGCAAAGCACGCAAGGTGAATACTCGGAGCGAGCCACTCTCTAGTGGAGTGGGTTATTGGTTCTTTTTCACGGTACTTTTTAGAGGTAAGTGCTCAGTGGTTGACTATCGTAATTTTGGAATAGATTCCCTTTTTTAGATTCCCTTCCGTCCAGTACATAATAGGGACCTTAAGTAGTCAGGACGGCAACGCCAAGGAAGACTTCGATTAAAAAATGAATTTCTGCCTTTAATTAGAATTTCAAAAATGGCTGCATGTGTTTGCCGTCTCATACGGCGCCACAGCTTAACTTCGGCATAACGTATAAAAGAAGCGTTGAGTTCCAAATGGAAATTAAAATAATTTGCCGTCGCGGTTTCGGTTCGCAGACGACGCAAATTGTGGTGATTTCACGTTGTTGTTTTGCATAGGACGGCTAAGAAATGTACAAAGTTTTAAATCGCACGTGCTGAGCTATTGTTCTTCCGACTAGATCTTTTGTTTTTCCATGTCGTCGTTGCTGTCACCGTCATGGTTTGCTTAAGGTCCTTAATTACAACGCCAAACGCGCTATAAGAAGGTGCATGATTCTCTAGATTCATTTGGATCCCAGAAAAGAGAGGATTGTACATCATGATTTTGAGTTAAGAGGTAAGGAGGCCGAACAGGATCTCCATGCCTAGCAACGAACTAAAAGTAAGATTAAAAAAAAAAAACAAGAATCATTTGGTGAACGAACCAATTTGATATCAGCTTCTTGGTTAATCACACTTGATCATGAGATAAAATGAGTTTATTATCATAGAAATTTTACCTCTGTAGTAATCATATGCTGTGGCAATATCTGCACTGGTCAAGCTTCTGTACCAAATGATTATTTCATCGAATGCTGCTTCCGGAAGCTGACCTTGAGGATCTCCGATGGACATCCGGGTCACATCGCTAACACTAAAGCTACCATTACTACATCCTTTGAAAACAAAGTCTTCAACTTCTTTTCCATTCTGGAAAATCTTTATATTTCCTAAATCGTCGGGGGATGTGTAACTTAACGTATAGTGTGTCCATATTTCTTTTGGCGTCGGAAAGATAACTTTGCAATTTTTGTTCGGACTAGCAATCTGGAAAGCCACTTGAGGTGAATTAGTATTTGCTTGAAACATTTTGTGACCTGTATGGCTACCTCCGCTGGAATCAAGGAAAACTTGTCCTAAATCGTTGTGTCTATACCAAACCCATAGCATAAGTGTGAAGCCATTTGTGCACTGAGATGTATTAAACAAACACTCGTTTGGTGGGAGACCTTCATTCAGTGTAAAGGTGTTGTTCCCCCGGTAAACCTTCACAGCTTTACCCCTAATTCCTTTAATTGTGGTAGCTTCAGTTGAGGCAATACCGTAGTCAGATCCCATTTCGTTGTAAATGTTCCTGTGATTATCCATGGTCCAGTAAAAAGCAGCTGATTCGAGCAGTTTGTCAATCGGCAAAGGCGAAAATCCTAAAAGACAGAAGTAAACATCGAGCATTCACAGCTTGGTAAAAGGTTATGGTTGAGGAGGAAGGGGAGGGGGGGGGGTGTAACGGCTTCGTATGCAAAGGACTTTCGAAATTGAGTTTAGGCACCTATGAGACTAACATATGACCTGGATCACCATTAGCACTCTTGGTTTTTGGATGATCCATGATTCAGTTTAGATTCTCCGTTGGCTCACCCTCGTAAGAAACAAAATTTCGAGTCTTTCTCTACGAAGTCTTGTCTTAATTTCGGAACATGTATTAGCAAAAACAGGGAAATGGGTGGTTTAAGCGCAAAAGTAAGACGAGAATGGTGGATTCAAAGAAGTAACGTGACGATGATTTGCTCTATCACAGTCTTAGTGTATGTCATTCAGAGCCCCCTTAACTTTTGGACAATTTTAGAAGGCTCTGTTCCTACAATAATCTTTTTTTCTTGAACATTGCTCAAAGTTAAATCTTGATATACTTCCCTCAAACTAATTTGTTGTGGAGTTGCTATGACCACATGGTATGTCGAAATTATCTAAACTTGTTAAGTAATAATTTGGGATTTCATTTCAGCTATCTTTGAGCTGAAGAAAAATGAAAAAAATTTTGTATGGAAAACCAATCTTAGAATTGGTTTTTAAAAGAAACCAACCGTTTCGAGTCTTAAATTGAAGAACTTAGAAGAGATAAGGACATCAAAAGAGGTAACAATTGGAGTAATGGATGATGATGATGTGCACTTTCTGTAAATGACAAACTTGAAAAAATCCGGGTGTCTCAAGTGTCTTAAGAAGTTCAACAACTAATGAATCTGTCTCAAGAATAATAGTGGCGGAAAGTTACTTTGTCTTGTCTTGCACCATTCTTCGCCTCTGAGTGTTGGGTCACAAACACATCGTCCTAAAACCTCATCACAGAATTGCCCTTCTAAACAGGGCGGCTCACAGACAGTATCTAAAGAAGAAAGTAACTTTGCTTAGTTGTAAGGTAAGATTTCATGATCATTATATCTCATTTGAAGATTTAAAATTGAATTTACAACATCGATGTTTTCCATAACTATTTTTCTATCAATGTTTGAAATTACTTTAAAAGTCGAATTACAGGTGCTGCTTCAATGGAATTTTTCAAGAACCCTTAAAGCCACCACTATTGATATTTAGTGACTCAACTCAGAGGTGTATTACATCACAGATTATGACAAATTTATATTATTTATGTTACTTACCATGACATCCATACAGTTCTACCCTCATTGATATATGACTAATCCATTCCAATGGAAGGAAACGGACATAACGGGCCGTGATGGGTGGGCTAAGGTCATGTAATACAACGGTATCTTTGTTTATGTTTCCAATAAATTCCTGAAAGAAAAAATTCCCAAAAAGACGATGAAAAAAAAACCACTTATAGGCAAGGACACAGAGCAAACTAGAAGTCGAAAAAATGGATGGTGGACTGGTATTTCATCCAGGGCAGTACCAATGCTCCTAGTCGCTTCATGCTATGGAAACTCGAGTAAAGTTCACCTAGATTAGCTGGTAGGCTCGAGTGCAGGCGTCATTTTTTTTGATCATTTGTCACAAACAAACAACCACGCATTCAAAAAAGAATAAAACTTTCATGGGTAAGATATTCAGACCTCGTCATTATTGTCATATGGTCTCTTGAAGGAATGAAGGGTTGATGGATGATGACCATACATCAGTTTGTACTTCGTCACCCATTGTTGGGCATCATGTCTGCCTTGCGTTGCGACGCGCGTAACTATACTGTAAACTCCAAGGTCAACCTGAAGCCACTGATGGACATTGTTTGTGGCAGCTGCCCAAGATCCCAACTTTCCTGCTCTTGGTTGAATGTTCAGTCTGCTTTGACTGGCGACTAATTGGCTGCTGTATTCTGACGAAGCACTGATTTGTTTTTCAGAAATTTCAGCACTTTCCATGCCAAGAGCAGAGAGACATTCTTGGACTAAAAGGGATTTGACGTAAATGTAAGATTAGCTCTAGAGCCAAAGTCAACTACGAAACATACCTTATAACTTTGAGAAGACATTTAAAAAGCTGTTTTTGATCAGTTTGTGAAAGGCAGTTTACGCATTTGACCTTTAACGTTACTTTGTAAGTTTAGAAGCAATCAAGATCTGTCTAATGACCAAGAGATTGTATAAAAAAAACTTTTTAAGTTACCATGACATCCATATAGCTCCACTCTCATCGATATGTGAACAAACCAATGTAGTGGAAGAAAGCGGTAGAAACGTGCTGTAATCGGTGGGTTAAGGTCATGTGAAACAACAGTATTTCTGTCTGTGTTTCCGGCGAATACCTGCACCCAGATAAAGGATAAACGATAAGGGAGTCACTGTGGAGATCTATGTTGGGCTTAGGAAATGAAGTTGTTCTTTTGTTCTGCACTAATAGGTAATTCAAAGACTTTTAGATAGGCTCAAATTTATCTGTTTACTTGGCAGTATTTCTTCATTATGAGCTTTGACCAATGAAACCTCAAATGAACTGTTACATGTAAGATGGTGGCAGTTTGCTTGGAGTTTACATTTCATTACCGACCTCATTCTATAATCGTATTTTAACAATCGTCTTATTGAGAGGGGTTGAAAAATTGCGAAACTTTAAAGACAGAGTGATTTCAGTGGGTTCTCATACAAAGCGATGTATGAATCCTTGTCATACATCGCTTTGCTCTGATTATCTGATGCAATTATTACATTGTCGCAATTGAGGTACTGACAACCAGCATAATTTTTATCGCATTATAACAACTCCTGGGTAGTTACTCTACGGCTCATTTAAATAAAGAAAGCAAGGAGGTTAGCTCATGTTCCGATATGTTGAAGAGCACTGGAATGCCGTGTAGGAGGTCGACAATTCAAGCGCCAGACCGTAACAACACTCAGGGTCTTAAAATAACTGGGAAGAATGTGCTACTTTTGCTACGACATCTGCGAGACATTCTCTTCTTCTCGGATAAGGACGATGAACCGTAAGCATAGTCTCCTGCACTTTCTCTGTTCTGGTTGGCAGGGGACGTAAAGGATCACTTCTCGCAAAATGTAGAATAGGTAACTCCTTGTGCTATGGTCTGGCATTGTAATTGTATTCCCTACATACGAAGAGGCAATAAAAATAAAGGAAGAAGAAGAAGAAGGAGAATTGTCCTTCACCTTATCGTTTCTTTTCCTTGATTCACGGTAATAGAGAAAGTTTAATCCGTTTTTGCTGTACTTTAGATTATATTTTGTCACCCACTGATCGATATCTCTGCGTCCTTGTGTTGCTACGCGAGTAACTTTTGTGAAATGACTTAAGAGATCGACCTGCAGCCATTGGTTTTTGTCATTTGTGCGAGCCGACCAACCTCCAAATTTGCCAGGAACGTTGTAGTTCAGTCTGGCCTGAACGGCTGAATGATTCCCGTCATGTTCAGAGGAACCTCTAATCTGCATGTCGGAAATTGCACCACTTTCCATACCAAGAGCTAACTTGCACTCTGTATTTCGAAAGGAATGACTTAAAGATAACTTCTGCTCCTTTTAGTAAGCTATTGACATTAACTGCGCTCTGCATCCCTTACCCCGAATCCTCATCCTACATCCTACATCCCGCTTGCATCATTTTAAAACCTGATTCCCGCATTCCAAACATAAAATCTCACAAACTGAATCGCGTACCCCCATTGCCCATCCTGAATCCCACACCCAACGGTCCAAATCTTCCCACAATCTGTAACACTATTCCTTATATTTTGAAATAAGAAGTTGTATATACCTTAAAAGAAAAAACAAACAGAAATATGTTGGACAATTTCGAAATTTACTGGTCATCAGAAACCCGATTTGAGCTCCAATAGAACAGTGCGCACCCTATGTCTGTAACTGAACATTGTAACAGGTCAGTTTGCATATCAAGCGTGTGTAATTAGACAATACATTCCGTTTGAATGCGTTGTGTATAAACTACTGTGTTTAAATTCTCGTGGAAAAGTCATCCCTGATGGCTTTTTTCAATATAAATTTTGAACTCTTTATATAGCATTTCTAATGTTCTGTTAGTTAACTCAACTCTGGTTATCAGATCATATACCGTATCACCTCATATAGAAGCGATTATAAAACAAACATTAGGCAATGTCATTTCCTACAGTCGCTTAAATTTGAAAAACAAAAAATTAAGAGTCAAAACAAATTTCGTAAGTTCCCACAGCATTGGCGAAAAGTGTAAAATTTAATAAAACAATTATTTCGTTCGTGCTTGTTGGATAGGAGATTGGGTGTGGTCAACTTGGCGGCACGCGTCTCGTCAGCTTTTTACCATCTCATATCCAACGTGCAGTCATGGAATAACTGCTTAATTCATATTACGTTTAATCATTGGGTTTCTCGTTTATAGAACTTTGTAACGTCTTTGTTCCATCTTATTTCGTATGTTATCATACTTTAGCTTAGCTTTTGGACTCCCGCTTACGGTCATCTAAATTTGCTCATCACTCATATGTTTCTAGACCGAATTGATCTCCATTGGATCCTCCTCCTCCTCTATAACAGCTACGACATCTTTCTAATTACCTTTTTGACATCCATACAGTTCCACTCTCATAGCTATCCCGCCAGACCATGCTAATATAAGGAACCGAACGTAACGCGACACAATTGGTGGAGTTAGGTCATGTGACACAATAGTGTCAGAGTCCGTGTTTCCAGAAAATTCCTTTATTAAAAGAAGGATGTCATCTTGTAAATAAACTATATATTGAATTTTTGTAATTCCAAATGGAACTGGTGAACATCGGCAAATAAAATTTGAAAAAACAATTTTTTTTAGTAGCGAAACATGTTTCGTCATCTCCAAGCAATCTAGATCTGAGGTTGTAAGGGTTAGTAAAGGCTTTTTCCCTTCCCCTCCCCCCCTTCCTCTCACTCATTGACTAGCTATTTGGTAATGATGGTGGTAGGAGGAGGGAGGGTGTGGTTAGTAGATGGGCGTCTCTTTTGCAGGCATGTTAGATTCACTCTCTGAAAAATTGACATGTCTTACCTTATCTGTAAATTTACCCTTCTCCTTGTAATTTTTGAATTCTACTCCGTTGTAACTGTGTTGTAATTTGTATTTCGTCGCCCACTCGGCTAAGCCATTCCTTCCCTGAGTTGCCACACGAGTTACCATGGTGTAGTAAGAACCTCCCAGGTCAATTTGTAGCCACTGGTTTTCATCTGTAACAGAAGCTGACCAAGCACCTGATTGGCTATCTGTGTTTTGGGAGTTAAGCCTGCCTCTATAGGCATACGCAGAGGAGGCAGCGGAGGAGGCGGTGATTTGCTGGTCAGATATTGCACCACCCTCGATGCCAAGAGCAGATCGACATTCTGAAACTGCATGATAACAGATAAAAAAAAGCACATAATTGACGAAAGGAAGGGGGTAAGGGCTATGATTTCACTCCTCATTAGATATCAGCACCAGCCAATTTCAGTTTTTAATCACATCTTCACTGGAATCAAGACCATGTGACCTAAAAGCATTATTCGCAACATTTATTCAAGTTAAGTTTCGACATGGGTGCCGTTTTTTACCTCAGAGAATTATTTTAGGTTTAGTGGACTCAAATGTTAATCACGTTTACCCCAGCTTCTACAATCTTTGAGAAATCATTATCTATTCATGAACTGGAATATAGCCCGCGCTTCCAATTCCAGGGCATATATATGCTTTTTTTCACTGAAATCTTCCCTCGTCATCACGCTATTTCCCATAATCAATCGTTTATTGGGTTCTGCAACCAGCACAGGAAGCTTGTGTGCTTACTGTATATTTTTGAGCACTATATCATTCTGTGTGAATGGTCAGCGTTATAATTCCTTTTGGAATTAAGGGGAAAGGATCAGAATAAACTTGTTATAAAGATACCGTTCTCCAGAGGTCGAGCCTCTTCCGGCGTATAGGAACAACTATCATTCACACTTAGCACTGGATCGCTGACTGCAATATCTCCAAGGTAACCACCAACAATTCCTTCGATTACAATCTGAAGAGAACAGATAAAAAGTTATAATAAGTGGCAAAATCAGCAAATGAAGTCAACAAAACTAACAACGGTAACAACCACAACGATATCGTGGCACCCTTAAGAACGAAAAAGTTCATCGCCAAACTCGCTAAAACCTTTTATTTTCTGTTTGAAAGTGTTAAATCACGGCTGATTTGTACCTGATACGAGTATCTCTGAAGAATGGGAATCTGTCCTCTCTTCCATGCGTTGCCATGAGAACCAGTAAGTCTCCATATGAGTACTTCGGCCTCACTTTCGTGACTTTTCAGGTACAAGTTTAGCCTTCCCATAGTACTTCCATCCATGTGGTACCAAAAGGTAAAGCAATTTCTTGTAGGTATTGTTGGGCGTGTGACAAGGCGACCCACGTCGCCTTTCTGTCGCGGGAACGAAGATTCGACGAACACGAATTTTTCGGCCGTCTCTGCAAGTATAGATGTCAGTTGTTACAATTTTGAGCATTTTCCTTTGAAATAGAGGAGTTAAGGCTTAAATAAGCAAGAAAAGGAGAGTACATAGCCATTTTAGTTATTTCAAGAATTTTAGCTAAAATTGGTCTATAGAAAAGACTCATTAGGAGGGAACATATAGTATTCAGGGATAAACATCGTACGTTGCATACTATTGCGCCGAACAAAGGTTATTTAATGATCACTTAAACTAAGACCTAGGTTATTTAAGGTTCCGTTCTACATATGTACCTCCGTGGCAAGGTCCAGTGTTTTCACTGGGTGTACAGTCTGTTTGTAACTGCTGCCAGTTGAAGTCCAACGCTGGTTGTTCATACCACAAGATAGTGTTTAGGTCTGAGATAAGAAAGGAGAATAATATTGTAAATTGTTTGGACCAAGAACAGAAGCTGATCGTGTAGTCTGAGTGAGAGCATTCCTTAAAGGAAAGTTACTGGTGGCATTTACTTACTTTTACGACAACCAGAGCGAGGTCATCGTCAGAATCGGATCTAATACCCTATTCACACCTGCAAAACATGTTTTGTTAAACTGGTTTTTACTGAATGAAAATCGTAGACAGACCTGAAAAACTTAATTTTCCGTATGATTCAAGTACTTGCCAACTTGGATTTCCAATGTGCTAAATTTAAGTGACAAAATATTAGGTTAGGTAGTTTCTACGAAAAAAAAACTGTGTTTAACAAAACAACTATAAAACATGTTTAAGCTTTGGTGTGAATTGGGTATAAGTTTTATTCCCAACAGATTTTGACTAACACTACTTGGGTCTTACAGTCAATGTTATCGCAGAAAATTGATTAACGATTTTTCACGAGCCATTCTTGTAACACTCGAGAAACAAATTTATATCTGATGACGACTTTCACTCAGGTTCTCGAAACATCGGTCGCTTCTGACGACAACCGTCCTTGTACAGGACCATTCTTACCCGGGCGATGGGAACTCCAGCCAATAAAGAGATTTGAGAGTCAATGATGTTCAACAGTGCGATTTTTGACATTCATTGGTTCTTGTTTCTTTTCATTCAGTCAAGCGTTGAAGTTTCTGCCACCCCCTCCGATGTAGGAGGCTTGGCAGTCGGAAGCCGAACTGAGCTTGTAAACCACTCCTTGTCTGTAACCTGGTTCTTCCGGTTCTTTGACGTTTAAAAATGTCGTCGTGTTATACCAGACTCACACATTCTTCGATAGTTCTAATACTAAAGAATCCCTATGCTCTTTCACAATTCGAAAGGGCCACTCTTATTTTGGTCAGAAAATGATGTTGACGAGGTAAAAAAAGAAAACTAGGAATGTAAAACTAACACACCTGATAGATTGACACTTTCTTTGACTGCTCCGTTTGTTAAATATGAATACCGTATGATTAAATCAGAGAGCTGAAGAAAAGGTTGTGAGCTCACAACTGTAGTGTGAGGAGCTTTGCCGATAGCGACATTATTATAGGGATTGCCTCCACCTCCAATCACTTCAAACTTCATTGTCTTTTGAAGGAGTCGTCCATTTTCGTAATACCTTAGTCCCCAGGCTTCGCTCCAAGTGATCATGACGTGGACCCAACGGAAGGGGATAACAGGGTTGCGTTGAAGTTCCATGGACCATATCTTTTGTGTAGTTGCGAACCGAATGTGATAGGATGAGTTTCCTGTTGCGGAAATATATTTATGATATACAGCGAAGCCCTCTCCGCGAGTACTTTCACCGAAAGATGCTATGATGTAGCTTGTGACATCTGTAAAGAAATAAAATGGCTTAGGAATTCGTGGCATACAAATTTACTATATTTTATTGTTAATATTAGAATTACTAGTATAATAAGGGTAAGTAAAAATTCTGTTTTCAAATTTTGTTATTCTTTTCCCTCAAAATGAATTGCACTGTTCAACCATTCTTTGAAATGTAATGCATTTTTTTAAACGAAGTTGTCATTGTTTTCCCCACAAAAGCACTTA